TTACACCACGTTTATTAAAGTATCAGCCAGATCCTAAAAAGAGAAGGCACAGATCTGTCTCTCTCTGGTGAATTTCTGGTGTCTAATGAAGGAAATGTCACCAGCTCTGCAAATTCCCATCCTCCAGAAATGAAAAAAATCAACACAATTGTGTGTAAGCAGGAGTCATGAGATGGACATGTTATATTAAGGGATTTGGATTTTCCTGTGCCACTTACAGGAATTTCGAGAGAGGAGGTAGCTACCAAAAATGTTTCAAAACTCCATCTACGTTCAGGCTTTGTCAAGGATTCACTGTTGGAAACAACAGTATTTGAAAGTTAGAATTTAGGAATTCCAACATGGTTCTATTTTCTGATCTGCTTTAGAAACTAGCCTCTGATGTAAGTGTTCTTATTTTGAGGCTTCTTGGGTTTTCAATTCCAAAAAAAAGGGCTGGTTGTTATCGTTTGCTTGGATAAGCCTCTCTGCCAGGTGATAGCTTCATGTCAGGGTGACATTCTGTCTCCCAGCCCGCCTCCCCTGCCCCCCAGCAATGTCCTGAGGAGCGTCACCAGGGCAATATCTATACCTCAGGCTCTCCTGTTCTTCCAGCAGTGAAGACAGTTCCTTCCTATGTCACCTTTTCTACAATTCCGTAGATGACGAGTTTTAACCTGATGAAAATAATTTGTGCTAAGGTGTTAATGAAGGGAATAATGAATTAGTTTGTTATCTCTCTGAAAGAAAAAAGAAATTGAATTTAAAAGAGGTCCTGGTACTAGTCAGGGGGTGCTGTCACTTTTCAGGAGCATTTCTAATACGTTGTCGTGTTTTTGGTTGTGCCAGTTACTGGGAAATGCTGCATAAGGGATTAATGGCGAAACCTGGACCTCACAACAGGCTGGCAAAGGGAAATGTTGATCGTGGTGGCATTAGTCTCATGAAGATATTTGCTTGATTATCCCATCTGTATTTGAGTTGGTCCTTCAAAAAGCATTTGCGGGACCTGGAGCTGACCAATATTTTCCTCCTTGAAGGACATTATGTCTGCAGATATTCATGAGGTGTCTGAACACAGGGGTATGGAGGGAGGCAGATCTCACCCCTTATACCAGCTGAAAAAGAGAGAAAGGGAGTGTGGATAGGATTGTAAGATTTAGGAAAAAATATATAGGACATACTCAGTTACTTTGCATTTCAGATAAACTTTTTTTAAAAGTGAAAGTATGTCTGATAAAATATATGAGAAATACACTAAAGAAATCTTATCTGCAATTTAAATTTCACCGGGTATCCTGTATTTTACCTGGCAACCCTAAATACTGAGAAGGAATAACTAAGGATAGAGAAAGAAAGGAAATAAGTAAGTTAATTAATATTCTGTACCCAAATGCCAAGCCCGAAGAAGGTCACAGAATTTTTGCTTCAAGCATGACCACGTGTAGATCCTTGTTAGTCATGAATTTTCTATTGCTAGACTACATGTGGGGCAGACACGGAAAGTAGTGAGGGTTTCCCGCTTGCTTTTTTTGAGAAGACAACCGTGTTGGAACCACCTAGTATGGATGGGCCTTTAAAAACTCCCATAACACCAAGGGAGTTCATTTTACTTGAGAAGATAGAACTTTTAAAAGTAATGGTTTGGAGAAACCATTTTTGATGGAAAACTTATTAAAGAAAAATGGGTGCCATGTTGGGAACAGCAATTTTAGAAGTGCACTGGTTTTGTTGCTGATGAAAACAAATTAGTCTGTGTGATGATGACATTAATAAGTTAATAGATGTTTGACTATTTCAAAAAGCATGGGGTGCCTCACAAGCTGGACAGTTTGCTTGTGGGAACACAGATAGGTTCTAAAGCACATTCTTCGTAAAATTAAAAGAAGCGATTTTTAACAAAAACATTAATTTCAGTTTCAGTTTTAAATCCAAATTGCAAGAACAACAAAAAAAGTGTTAATAAATTAAGGCTGGTCACAATGTGCCCTTTTTCTTTAGGATAAGTTTGATTTTTGATAAGAGATCATAAACGTACACACACCACATACAAGCACATACTTTTGACTCATACAAATATACATTTAAAACTAATATCTACAAAATAGTATCACAATTGAAAGAACAATTACACAATTTTCAACAGATTCAATAGACATGTTTTACAAATTCTACAGAATATTTTATCATTATTATTGGGAAAACAAACAATTTAGAGCATTATTTAAAACTGTATGTAACACAGGAGCCACCAATAAGTTATGGCAAATATAGCATTTACACCATGGTGTCACTGAAATCTAGCTGAAAAGACAAAAGTGCTATAAAATAAAATGCTCTTAAAAACCTTGTTTATCATATCCTGAGGACACTATGCATTATTTTCTATTAGCAATTCAAAGCTTGAGCACTCTGCCTATGGAGCTCCTATTTGGTTGAGCCACCAAAGATTAAAAGATTGTGTTGTTGGATCTGTAAAACCGTGAAACTAAAAAACTCATGGAAACATGCATTTCCTGAGACTTCCAACTTTCCAGTCTGGAATCCTAACAAGGAAGAACCTGAACAAAATAACCCTGGGTAAAAACATGTTCAAACTTCAAAGAACTTAAAACAACTTTAAGGTGTGTGTGTGTGTGTGTGTGTGTGTGCGTGCGTGTGTGTGTGTGTAATTTATATTCAAGTCCATCTTGGATTCTCTAATTTGAAGTATAATTGACAATGTAGATACATTGTTAGTGCCAGGCATTTTCTGTTTCTGACAGTCTCACTTTTCATTGGTTTTCTAGTTACTTTTCTCCTCTCAAATATTTAAATACTTGAATTAGATTTATATCTACTAATGCAGGAGATATTGATTTTAAGAGTTGAAACGGCAGTAGAATCAGATTGATTCGAGTGCAGTTTCAACTTGAATAAGTGTATGTATGTGAAATGTGCATTCTCTCTCTGTGTGTGTGTGTGTGTGTGTGTGCACATAGAGGTGTATACGTGCCAAACATTTTATACTCTAATACATTCACTGTTAGGTGGCAGTCCATGAAAAGTAAGTTTTCCCAGTATGGCTGAAAGTAAATATTGAGGTCATCATATAGAATATCCTAAGGCTTTTAAAAGATGCCTCCTCATTCTCTGCATTTACATGACTGTGTAGTAAATAGGGAGACATAAATGATAATGGCAGAAGACATTTTTGTTATATTAGTCTTTGAAAATCACAGACAGGAAAGCAAACTTAAAAATGTTGCTCTTTGCATATTTTCTCTCGTCCCACCCACTCCTTTGATTTTCTGCTGTAGATTGGGTAAAAGTTAGATTTTATTTGTCTGGTTGTTTTGTTTTGTTGCCTTGCAGGACTTGTGAAATAGTCTTAAGAAACAAGCAAAACAAAAAGTGCACCAAGCTGTATCTACTGCCATCTTGGGGCCCGTGTGTAGCCCTTGTGCCACACAAACTCTGAAAAGACAGTGCCCAGCTAAGACAAAGGAGCATAGGCTGAGGGTAGTCTTTGATTGTATATCACCATTTGTTACTTTTGGAAGTAACAAATGTGCTCCAGGGCAGGGCGAATGGACAAAAGTGTGCTCCAGGGCAGTGTGCTCCAGGGCAGGGCTAATGGACAGAAGACACTGAAAGGTACCTTCTCTCCATTCCCCTTTCCAAGGACTCTCTCCTAGTAAACTCCCCAACTAACTGGAGGACGCATGGTTCCCTTCTACCTCTTCCCCCCTTTCTAAATTAAGGCAAGTCCATTTACTCTCAGTGCCTGCTACATAGGCACTGTATGTCCAGAGGAAACCACAGCATTGGCTTGAAAGTGCCTTTTGTCTAACAAGGTTTCTGGGTGCTTGTCATTAGCAGCAATACAAAGCTTTCCCTAGTTAAAAATCTACACAATTATTCTAAAGCTTCATCATGTTTTTTTCCAGCACCCAGTTGACAAATAGGACAAAGTTAATTCTAAGCAAACACTGTAAGAAAGTATCTAGGTTTAAGAAAATACAACATAATCATCTCTATATTTTATTCATTAATATGATGAGAAATCTGTTTTCCATTATATTTATAAAATTAAATTTATGTGTCACTGCAAATATGCTTGGCTAAAGATCCTCCTGAAGGATGAATGAGTAGCCAGCTAGAGGAAAACGTCTGCCTGAAAACCAAATTTGTGGGACATGCATTTCTGTAATTCTAATCATTTAAAAAGGATTCATATACATTTGCACATAAAGAGCAGGTGTAAGAAATAGAAAGATAAAACTACAAGGGGAGGGAAAATGGAAAGAAGAAACATATTTTGAAAATAATGAAGTCCTGCACTAGAATTTTTTACAAAAATATTTTAATGTGATCATCTACTCTCAAAGATCTTATTACTCTTCTTAACACATTAAGGGTTTCAGTCTTTAATATTAATGTTTTCATTTGAAAAGAATTGTACTGTGTCCATATCTCTGTGTGTTTGTGTATGTTTGAGTCTGTATGCTTGCACAGGAGTGGGCATATGTTGGTATATTGTATATGGCAAGATGTATACACACAACCCGAATGTATAAACACATTTTTGTGTGTACATGTATGCTATTTGGTCTACCACAGGTATATGCACACTCCTCATAAACATTCTCTTCAGTATAAACAATTTCTTTTCCTCCCTTTAATTGCTAATATGTACTATTTTCTGATCATGAGTATTTATAATTTTGAAATCAACTCAATTATTTATGACCTTGACATATATAATCTTGAATTCAATTTCCGTATCTAAGAGATGAAGCCATATGTGCTACATTTAAGTTCATTAAAAGCTGAGGGCATGCTTTTATTTCTCTATGACCCTACTTTGCATGGACTGTATTGTCCTAGGAAACTATTGAGGTGCGATTATTTCTAAATATGAAAATAATTCATAATTGTAAGAATTTCATCAAATTTTATAATTTTTATAAATACCTCACAATATTCTTGTGAAGTACATAGGCAAGGATTATTGTGCTCTTACTAAGATTATTTTTTAGAGTTGTCAAATATCACAAAGACACCAAGTCGGAAACAACACTCAGGCTGTGTCATTGTTCTTCCCAGTAGACACAGAGGATTAAATGTTAGGTTGTAGAAACTTTGTGTGAAACTTTTGCCTCTCATCCCTCAAATAGGGTGAAACTCAGAAGTGAGGAATCAGTGCCAATTTTAAAGAGGTCCACTCACATCTCATAGATTTCAAGTTTTGTAAAGATATTTCACAGAACCCTGTAATTTCATGGACATAATTTCAAAAACATTGCTCTAACTCCTTCTACCAGCCTCTCTCTTTCTTCAAGTCAAAATCTTGAAGTTTCTTTAAAAATCTTCCTTAAAATCTGGAGTTTAGATTAAATATTTGGAAATCCCCAATTGGCAGGAAAGCTTGCAGTCTTTTTTTCTTCCTTCCTTCCTTTTTTTTTTTTTTTTTAATAATCAGAGGAGTCATTAAGAGGGCTGTTTAAAGAGCTCTTTTCAGAGTTTTCAATTTTAACGCACTTGTCGTACCTTATCATTTACTGGCTACTTGCGGGCAATATTATTCAAGAGATTGCTGAATTAAAATGCCATCCATCTCTTTCACCCCTCAACCATTTTTTCCCTCTGAAGTTGGCATTCACAGTTCTTCCAAAAATGTTTTTATCCTATATTTATAGCTGCCTTAAATAGAAATACTGTGAAACACTATTATTTTCATATAACAAAAATCACTGATTATGGCCTCCAATATTACTGATGCATGGAGACTGATTTGATGCAGATTTTCTATGAGCAAAAGATAGCTATGATTGCCTAACTGCAGATGACTGCAGAGTATTATACCAAGTTCCACAAAACAAATAAGTTTTAAGACAACAATGTAATACACAAAATGTTGGGCATCCAATTGTTTTGATTTCCATAGAGCATCTGATTAAAAAGAGCGAGCAAGAGAGGGAGCAGAAAGGTTACAGGGTATAGACAGTGTAGGAGCCTTAGGCTGAAAGTAGAGAACCTAATCAAGTAAACACTCATGAGTTCTACGTTACAAAGACTAATTTTGAAAAACAAATTTACTGTTTTTTTTTTTAATCCCTAACACTAGAAGTAGATTTCACTCATCAAATGGGAAATGAAATATTTATAGTCATGAAGAGTATGCTTGTAATCAATGAAGAAATAGTTTTCCCCTTTTCCCACCCACTACCAGCTCTATTCCCTTCAGGGACTTAGTAGAATAGGAAGATCAGAGTGTTTACAGATAATGCCTAATACAATGAGCCTTCTCCATCTTATTCATGGAAATTCCAAGTAGTGCTATCAAGTGTTGGCTTCTCCTTCATCAAAGACATAGTTGAGCTTTATGACAGTGCTGATAAAGTCACCAAGTTCTACAAAATCGGCAGTGACAATATTGATGCCACTCTCTCCTGGCTTCTGCATGCGGACCCACTGCATCATGGCAGGAAGAGCTCTGAGAAAGGAAACAAAAAGAAAAATCACAAAAGGTAAGATACTATTTTTCAAGCTCTACAGTTCTCAGGCTTCCCTTTAGTCCCAACTTATTAAAATAAATGTTTCATGTATAGGTACAGAAGGGGGAAAAGCTAAAATGGACTCTGGCGATTTCTTAAATTTTGAAGAAACTCAGCAGGAGCAATGTTCACTATATTGGTGTCCTTATCTCGGCAGATCCCAGATACTGTGATAGTTTATAACAATGCTTCCCTACTAAGAAAACAACATTATTGCATTTGTATTCTGGTTTGACGTGGTGTCATCACAAACCCTGCAAAGCTATGGAGTGGGGATGTCAGAGATGAACACATGCACTTAGCAAACATTTATTATAAACCCACTACTATGAGGAAATGTGCTAACATATTGTAAACAGACATAATAGTAAAATTCCCTGCCTTCAAAAAGTTAATAGTGTGCTGGTGGGGAGGCAGACAAAGAAGACATTGTAGCACATACAATCAGGGCTCATTCCTTCAGACACATTTACTGGGCACCTATTAAGTTCCAGTCATCTCTGTAGGCACCTGGAGAATTCAAGTGAACAATACAGATAAAAATATCTTTCCTTGCAGAGCTTACTTACATTCTCATAAGGAGAAGCGGACAATAAATAGTCATAAAAATGTGTACTTTGATAGGAGAGAGTAAGTGCTATAAAAATGGAGCAAAGAAAGGAAGATTAGGAATCTGCAGGTGGGGAGGGTGATGAAGATTGCATTTTAAAACAGGAGAGTTTAATAGGCCTCATTGATTAAGGGACATTTGTGCAAAGGTTTGAAGGAGACATGGGAGTTAGTCATGTGGCTATCTAGGGAAAGCATCCCAGCTATTGCCTTGGCACTAAAGGGTTAGTTTAGAGAAAAGAAGAGAGTAGTATAAAATGAAGATAATGAAGAAAAGGTGGCACATTCTGTAGGGCAAATTAGGCCATTGCAAAAGTTTTGATGTTCACTCAGATTAAAACAAGGGGCCTTTGAAGTATCTTGAGCAGAGGGGTGGTGTGATTTGACTTTCACTGTAAGAGCTCATTCATCATCATGAGATAATAGTGGATAGTCCCCTAGCATAGCCTGGCAAATGGAGAAAAACCTTTCAGAAGAATGCCCCCCTAAAATAAATATTGAAAGATTAGGAAGATTTAGCTGGTTAAAGGTGGGAGGTGGGATGCTAGATGGAGGATTATGCAATGCATTTTCAGGCAGAGGAAATACCATTTTTTCATATATTGACAGAATGATGGCATGTGCTTAGGAGCAAGGGATCCAGGAAGACAGATACAGGAGATGTAAATGATGCTGTCCAGCATCTTCTGGAAGCATATTGGAATGAGAACTACTATAACTGAGGGCAGGAAGACATGTTTCCATGACAAAACGATAAACAAAAAGGTCAGAGACATGATTGTGTTTTAAAAAGGAAGTTTGAGGGAAATACATATAAACATTAAATCCCTGGATCAAATGGAGGGGGAGAGGAAGAGAAAAAAGGAGAAAGAGAGGAGAGTTGAAAAACCTGAGGAAGTTGTATAAGAAAGGTAAGGTAGTTTTTTTTTTTTAAATATATACTTTAAGTTCTGGGGTACATGTGCAGAATGTGCAGGTTTGTTACATAGTTGTTATACATGTGCCATGGTGGTTTGTTGCACCCATCATCTACATTAGGTATTTCTCCTAATGCTATCCCTCCCCAACACCCCTGGTGTGTGATGTTCCCCTCCCTGTGTCCATTGGTTCTCATTGTTCAACTCCCATTTATGAGTGAGAACATCTAGTGTTTGGTTTTCTGTTCTTGGGTTAGTTTGCTGAGAATGATGGTTTCCAGCTTCATCCATGTCCCCGCAAAGGACATGAACTCATCCCTTTTTATGGCTGCATAGTATTCCATGGTGTATATGTGCCACATTTTCTCTCTCCAGTCTAAGTCTTTGCTATTGTGAACAGTGCCACAATAAACATGTGTGCATGTGTCTTTATAACGGAATGATTTATAATCCTTTGGGTATATACCCAGTAATGGGATTGCTGGGTCAATTAGTATTTCTATTTCTAGATCTTTGAGGAATCACCACTCTGTCTTCCACAATGGTTGAACTAATTTACACTCCCACTAACAGTGTAAAAGCATTCCTATTTCTCCACATCCTCTCTAACATTTTTTGTTGCCTGATTTTTTAATGATCATGATTCTAATTGGCTTTAGCTGATATCTTATTGTGGTTTTGATTTGCATTTCTCTAATGACGAGTGATAAGCTTTTTTTCATGTGTTTGTTGGCTGCAAAAATGTCTCCTTTTGCAAAGTGTCTGTTCATATCCTTTGCCCACTTTTTGATGGGGTTTTTTCTTGTAAATTTGAGTTCTTTGTAGATTCTGGATATTAGCCCTTTGTCAGATGGGTAGATTGCAAAAATTTTCTCCCATTCTTTTGGTGGCCTGTTCACTCTAATGACAGTTTCTTTTGCTGTGCAGAAGTGCTTTAGTTTAATTAGATCCCATTTGTCTATTTTGGCTTTTGTTGCCATTGCTTTTGGTATTTTAGTCATGAAGTCCTTGCCTATGCCCTGAATGGTATTGCCTAAGTTTTCTTCTAGGATTTTTATGGTTTTAGGTATTACGTTTAAATCTTGAATCTGTCTTGTGGTAGGGCACTTTTAAAGATGTTAAAGAGAAAAAAACCCAGACAATAGAGGGCCTTGAGAAATATATAACAACTGAATTGGGAAGCTGAGCAAGATGCTGGAACAGAAGGCTTCACATTCCCCTGCAATGACATCATCTCTTCTTCAGGTATACCAAGTTAACAACTATCTATATAGCAAAAAAACACCTTCATAAGAACGAAAAATCAGGTCAGCACCTATAGTACCTGGATTTAACTTGATATCACTGAAAATGCCTCTGAAGAAATAGAAAAAGCAGTCCTGAATCAGTGACACCATCCTTCTCAACCCTCACAGGAAACGGCCTGGTGTGGAGAGTATCTCTGGGCTCTGGGGAAGGGAGAACACAGTAATTGTGAGTCATTGAACTCAGTGCGGTCCTGTTAGAGCAGAAATGAAAACCAGTTCTAACTCAGCTGATACCTGGTCACACAGAGAATATTTAAACCAGGCCTAGCCAGAGGGGAGTCGCAGATCCCAGCAGTCAGAACTTGAGTGCCTGCAAAGCTCACCACAGAGGGCTACAGTGTTCTGTGTCTCCAAGTACATTCGAAAGGCAGTCTAGGTCATCAGAACTGCAACTCCTAAATGAGTCCATACTGAGATACCAGCTTGGGTAACCAAGGGAGTGCTGGCATCATCTCTCCCCTAAACCCAGGTTGCACAGCTTGTTGTTTCAAAAGAGACTCCTTTCTTCCACTTGAGAGAAGAGTGGTGAGGTTTTTATCTTGTCTCTTGGATACCAGCTCAGCCACAGCAGGATAGAACACCAGTGAGTCATGAGGTCCCCATTCCAGGTCCTAGCTCCAAGATAAAATTTCTAGACACACCCTAGGACAGAAGGTAACCCACTGCCTTGAGGAAAAGGACCTAGACCTGCCAGCTTTCATCTCCCGCTAACTGAAGAGCCCTTGAGCCCCAAATAACCAGCAGAGATAACCAGGTACTACATCTTGGGCCTTGGGTGAACCTCTGAGACTTGCTGGCAAGTAAGACTCAGCACATTACTAGCTATGGTGGCTATGGGGAGAAACTCCTTATTCTTGAGGAAAGCAGATGGAAAAGTAAAGGGGACTTTGTCTTGTACCTTAGGTACCAACATGGCCATGGTGGGTGGGCCACCAAGCAGACTCTTGGAGTCCTTGATTCCAAGGACTTGACTGTTGGATGGCATTTCTGGATCTGTCCAGGGGAGCCCATTTCCCTGAAGGGTGAGTCTCAAGCTAGGCAGCATCCACCAGAAGCAGACTTAAGAGATCTTGGCCCTTATGGGAACATCAGTGGTAGTCTGGAAGTACTCATCATGACTAGGGTGGCAGTAGCTATAGGGTGAGGCTCCTGTACCTTGGGAAAGGGGAGGAAAGAGTGGTAAGGACTGTGTCTTTTGTTTTTAGTGCCAGCTCTGCTGCAATATAATAGGATACCACATGGACTTCTAAGGTATTTGACTCTACTCCCTGACTCCCAGATGACACTTCTGGACCCACCCAGGGCTTGGGGGTCCTTGCCATCCTGAAAGGAAGGATATAGGCCTGGCTGGCTTTGCCACCTGTTGACTGTACAGTCCCAGGGCCTTTAGAAACCATATGCAGTAGCCAGGGAATGGTTACAGCAGGCCTTGCATGAGACCCAGTGCTTTGCTGACTTCAGATCTGACCCAGCCCAGTCATAGTGGTGGTGGCCACAGAGGTGCTGTGTCATCCCATCCCCAGGTTTAGGTGTTACAAAATGACACAGGAGACTCTATATGTTTGGGAGAAAGTGAGAAAAGAAAACAAATCTCTGCCTGATAATTTAGAGAATTCTCCCATATCTGGACCAATACCATCAAGGTGGTACAAGTCGGCAGGAATCACAGCATTACTGGTCTTGGGGTACCCCTGAAGCAGATACAGCTTGAACACAGCATCCACATCTTTCAAATTTCTGAAAGCCTTCCCTGAGAAGGATGGCTACAAATAAGCTCACACAGCAAAGGCTAGAATAAATACCTGACTCTTCAACGTCCAGACACTGAAGAATATCTAACTAGCATCAACACCATCCAGGGAAATGTGACCTAACCAAATGAACTAAATAAGGCACCAGGGACTAATCCTGGAGAAACAGAGATATGTGACCTTTCAGACAAAGAACTGAAAATAGCTGCGTTGAGGAAACTCAAATATGTTCAAGATAACACAGAGAAGGAATTCAGAATTCTATCAGATAAATTCAACAAAGATATTAAAATAATTAAAAACAGTCAAGCAGAAATTCTGGAGCTGAAAAATACAGTTGGTATACTAAAGAATG